CACTCCAGTTTCATGGGCTTCAACAGGCTTCTGTGGGCTGCCTGGGGGACCTAACTACCACGCACAACATGGTTTCTATGGGAAAATGCATTTTGAGTACTAGAAAACTGACATACACTCAAACTTTTGGAACAGAGCCTGCTCTTAAGTTGGAGACTGCTTGAATACCACATTCACAGTTAAATTATATACATAGGCCTATTTTTAAGACATATGCCTATTTCCAAGACATTCAGCTTACGTAACAATGGGAATTGGAAGAAAGAATTGATAGAAGTAGAATCATGTGCTCTATGGGGAAAAGGGGGAAGATGTGAACATTTGCTGTACAGAATACATTCATTTTTATTTGGAAGGAGAGTAGAGGACACAGAGAGAATGCCTAAAATATTCTCTAGATTTGTGTGGTCCACCCCATGGGACCTTTCTTTAAGCCACTTCATATGCATATAGTTTGTAATTTTGAGACAAATAGTTGAATTCTACAGTAACAGACAATATTGCATTAAATTAAGAGGTCGGAGTATGAGCAAGGTCTGCATTTTATAGGATGTGCCCAGGCCATGTAGCACCTCTGGTCCCCATATCCCCTCAATCTGTGGGCTTCCAGGATGATACATGAACTCCCTGCTGTCAGATTTCCTTGCCCCAAATGGACTTAGCCTGCAGGACCCAGCAGTGGTTTTGCTCCGGGCCATGTCTTAAAGCCAGTTTTCTAGAATTCTCAGTTACTTAAGGCCAACACCCATAGCCATTGGCCAGCAACTCAGTAATGAGTACTGAGACTAAAAATGAACCAACCTAGATTTACTTCATTTTGCTTTACTTCAAATAACTCATTTCAACTCAGTAATTTATGGAATTACATTAATTAATTTTTATTTAACTACTTTAAATCAACCTGACAACTCAAGTCAGCTCAGGTGAGAATTGAATTCAAAACCCCAAACACTGATTAAACAAACCTAGTTGGCTATTACTATGTTCTTAATTACGAAAAGTAATGAAGATGGTTCAACTGGCCTTTGGGTTGGCAGAGAGCTGTGGGATGAATATTCTCCTCCTCTCCAACTGTGTGTATTTTATTCATAGACTACCCTGGTATTCTAGATAAAAATAACTAATGTAAATGCTGTTGTTTTTCAATTGTGAATTTAGGAAACAGAATTTTAGTTCTGATTCATCCCTCATGTTTGGAATAGAGTAGCTTGTGTCTCATGATACTAGGAAAGATATGGAGGAAAAGAGGACAAGACCAGTAACTGAATTCCTGAATGAAGCTGACCCTTCCTCATGGTGGGCTCACCACGGAATCTACACCCTGGCCTCCATTCCCCATGTCGCAGTGAGCAGGTGGCTTCCACATCCAGGAAGAGGAGACTCATGCAGAGTGTGTAGATTCTCTATGCGTGACATTTTCATTAGCACATGCCTATTTCCCGTGGAAATAGCTACCCACTCTAGAGGAATAGATCTGTCTGCTGATAGTAGGGGTAGTGAGGCTAGGAGGGCGTTAGGTAAAGATGTTTCATGGGGATGAAGGAGCCCCAGTAGAATGGCAAGAACTCTGGTCTGAGTTAGGAGACCTCAATTCTGTTTCCAGCTCTGTCACAAACCATCTGGGTGACCTTGTACAGATCACTTGCCTTGTGATCTGGCAATTGGGCTAGTTGGTTGCAAATACATCTTTTAACCCTACAATCTGAGCCTGTGGTGGTATATATGGGGCAGAGATAAGCTGACTGTGTCCCTGGCTCCAGCTCCTGCTAGCTCCAGCAATGGACACCTGAAGCTGGTGCAGCCTTCAGCCTACAGCACTTTGGTTTCTGCATCAACCCTGACCCAGCAGGTGAGCCTTTAGGCACCTCAGCCCCATGAACCAGTAGAGACTGAAATAGATAGTATGGTTGTGATGCTAGATGCCACTATTATAATTTCTCCTTCAATACCAGCAGCCCTATCTCTGCCATCAGTACCAAAATAATAGTGTATGTGCCAGGCTCTGTGCTTTTCATTCACTATTTTATTTAGTCTCCCTAACAGTTCTGTGGGAAGGTCTCTCCCATATTTTTCAAATGAGGAACAGACTGGATGTACAAGCCATGTTGACCTGATTCCAAAACTCATTCCCTTAATCCCATAAGTCCAATTGATGCAATCATGACTGGTTTTCTGTTGTTCTTTTCTACCTTGCCATCCAGTTCTTTGGAAGGGACAGACTGCTGGCTTGAAGTCCAGGCCCCTGGGTTTGACCTTGACTCTTTGGCAAGTTTCTGTGTAGACTCTGTGGGCCTGGATTCTTTTCTTTGCCTCCCAAACTTGTGGTCTGTGTGTGGCTCTTAATGAACCAAACACCCACATCATGATGCTGTCCCCCAACCGAATTTGGCAACACTTCCCATCTAGCTCACCCTGCTGTCACTCCTCATCCTCCAAGCTGTAATTCTAGGGATCTAAGGGCCTGGTGGAGCCAGGGCTGACTTCATCGCCACCCTTTAGGGCCCTTGGTCACTGATTTGAGGTCGGCCCTATAGTTTTCACAATTTCCCTAGCCCTCCTCTGGGCTTCTGTCCTCCTCCACCTCCCCTAGTCCTGTGCACTCAGCACGATTTCCACCTGAGTTCAGCTGACTTGCCACATCTGGGGCCTGTGGGAAAGAATGGAGTGGGACATGGAGATCCAGCCCTGGACTGGAAGGTGACCCCAGGGGTCCAGCCAGCAGGAGGTGCTGTAGGGGTTGCCCAGCAGTGCTCCATAAATATACCTTTTGTTTTATTCATGTGTTCCTTTCCACCCTCCCTTATTTATTTGCTTGTGGAGAGCTCTTGAGCACAGAGCCACAGGGGAGAGAGGCCTTTTCACTGAGTTGGCCCAGTCTTGTTCTGTCTCTGCTCTTTGCAGGATTTGGTTGTTTTCCATCTTAATTATGCTCCTTGCATCAGTGGCTGGCAGGCATACAACCTTTAGAGGAGTTTATCTTAAAAACCCACTCTCTCCTGAGAGAAGCAGTTCTATGGGGAACTGTGAGACTTCCAGGGATGGTTGTACGTATGTGTGTGTAGGCAGTAGGGAGGTGACAGTTGCTTTCTCGCTTACCATTTACCTTAGGGAGGTCAGAGCTTGCTAACACGGGATGGGGCTACTTTTGTGTCCCCTAGTTTTAAACCTCATTAAACACACAGAGTCATCACTATGGACTCAATTGGGGACAGTGATGATATTGTGAAGGGGAGCCAGGGCTTGACAGTGGGTTAAATGAGTGACAGCACCATGAGTTTAGGTCACAATTATCTAACTTAATGACTAATTGTAACATATTTCTTTGGGTTAAGACTCTGTATTTCTGACTAAATGCAAATATTTTCTGGCAGAAATGACTGTTTTTGATTATCAGTCATTTACATTTTAGTATAAATTACCTTTTAGAAGACTCAGTTACCAAGTGCATAGGTCTCCCCATATCTGGAAGAACTATTTAATTGGCCCAATTAGATGGTTTTCTTATTGAGCCTTTAATTTACTTATTTGGAATTTTTTTGGTACAACTGTGTACTGCCCTATATAGGAAGCCCAAGAGAAGGAGAAGAATTGGTCCCTTGAGGACCTAGGCTTCTCCATAGGAAACAATACAGCAGGCCAGAGATAAATTATAGTTGGGAGCTAGACCATGTGCTACAGAAGTAGCTGCACAATGATGTTGAATGAAGCAGGTACAGATGGGGCTGAGGTTAGCTCTGTGGAGGACCCAATATCTGCCCTGGATTTTCACTCTTGAAATTGCCCAGACGAGGTTGATATGATTAAATATCAGAATGAGTAGTACAGAATAAATATTGCAAAAGGAGAAAATGGGTGCACTGCAGGAACTGGGGAAAACAAAAGGCTTGTGTGAAATAGAGGGAAACCGGTGGATTCTGTGATAGTGATGCAAAGAGAAAGTTCTCGCTTTTCTTCCCCTACCTAGCTGTCTGACTTTATTCTTTATTAGCAATGTCCATTGCTCATTTGAATATTCTAGCTCCAGCCCAATTTCCCCACTAACTTTTCGGGGAGGCATAATGCTCTGCCTACACATAGCAGGTGCTTAATAGATGTATTGAATAAATTAACAAATGAATCATAAATAATATTGAACACATCTGCTAGGCTGAGCTACTTAAGGATCTTGACTTTGATTCTGCTGGACTAAAGTTGCTTTATCCAAATCTGAAGCTGGAAAGGAAAGGATATCCTAATAACAAATGCTATATTTCGATCACTGGTCAATCTTCCCATTCTCTGCCTATCTCTTGTGAGCGTTCACACGGCCTCATTCAAACCCAGCTGCAGCAATGATTCTTCTGTTTCCATGACTAGATGCTGTGAGACAACCAAACCAAAATGATGCCACCCTTGCCCTCTAAGAACATAAAATTAGTAGTTAATTTTATACTATGAAAAGTGAGGAATTTCCTCAGGAAAAGAGGAATTTAGATCTAGCCTATAATAAAATTAGTCACCCAACAGGCATTAAACTAAACTCTGATTTCTTTACAAATGTCAATGCTGGGGCTCCTCGTTAGATTACATTCTCTGGGGGGTGACCAGCTGAGAAAGAGGACTAGATATTCCTGACATGCTCTTAACACTCTCTGTGGCCATGGGCCCCTCCATCTGCCAAAGATCAGGCAGAGAAAGTACTGTTCACTATAACACAGATACCATGATCTCTGTGTTAGGGATGCAAAGGGCCCAAACTTATGATCTCCCAAAGCCCTGGCAGGCAGACTGAATGTGCAGTCCACAGCTTATAAAAGGCCCGACCAGTGGGTCCATAGTCTCCAGAGGTCATTTTCTCATTTTGGAGATCCCCCTGGGGTCCAGCCATATCCTGGATCAGGAGTATTGTTTCACAGCTCAGTTCCCAGCCACGTAAGAGGAATCTGGGACTGGGACCAACACTATGATTCTTTTCTAATCTGTTCTTCTCTCCACTCTCTTTCCTGTCTCCACCCAACCAGGAAAGCAGAATATTTAAACCTCTGCCAAACTCCCAAGAAGCTGACTTTTCAATGTGCAATGTCATTCCTCAGGTTGTTTCCCGCCCATCAAATGCCAGTGGCCTAGACTGACTGTTGCCAGCATTCCTGGAGAGCCCAGGAAGTACACTATGGTGATGAAAATGACTGTGGCAATCCAGCAGTCTGCTCTAACTGGATGATTGTAAGAGGGTAAAGAAGATAGTGCTGAACTTTGTGATGGTTTTATATTCCAGTAAACGCCCAGTAAGACAACATTGGAGACAGCAGGGCCCATATGGGTATTGGAGAAACAATGGACAAAGTCAGACCCAGCCCAGTGGATGACGGCAGGATCTCACTAGTGTTGGTCTCACAAGTGTTGAGTAGAAGATACCCAGAGAGTGAGACAACTTCCAGGACTAGAACTGTGTGTGGAGTCCAAACCAGGAGAGTTGGGGAAAGAGGGCAGTTGGACATCATCTTCGTGGATGGAATCTTGCCAGGTGAGCCTTTCCAGTCTTGCTATGGTGCTGATAAAATGTGAGAATAACATAGATTTCGTCTTAAGTTCCATTTGTTGGGGTACAGTAGCTCTCTTTTGAGCTAGACTCCAGCTTTCTCTTATCTCAGGGTTTGCACCTAAGGTTTGGGGCCAGGGCTAGTTCTGCTCGACCACCACTCTTCCCTTGTGTACACCATACCTGACTGCTTCCTGTCTAGGATTAGGCCCAGCACAGCTCTGTGCATTCGCTGTCCACCCAGCTGCCCCACCTGCTTCTCTTACAGTGAGCCCCACCCACCTGCTGCAATTGCCTCTATGTGATTCTCCCCGACGCCCCCACAATGCAGGACAGCATCACAGGGAGCTTAGATTAGTTGCCGATTGTTCTGTGGGTGACTCTGATTTCCTCATTATGCCGGTATTTGGCTCCTTTTGTATTTTTTCAGATGGAGATCACAGGGCTGGGCCATGGTAGGTTCTCTGTCTTCTCCTTCCCATCATACTCATCCCTCACCTCCCCCAAATTTCTCATGACAGTTGAGGGGGATGGGGGAATGGGGATAATGTACTTTTTCTATCTTACAGTAGAGCTAAGAAGCACCCCATCCTAGGAGGGACTGAGCTGACTTCATTTCTCTTTATCTTCCTCTTTCCTTCATCAAATAACTAATGAATGCTTCAGTAGCTCTATTGGATCTCGGGACAATCTAGTAAACAGACAAGATACTTTCTTGGAGCATGGAAGGGAGTGTATTAAAACTGACAAACCAATACATAAAATAATCACAAATTGTTAAAAGAAATATGAAGGAAACAAACAGTGCTAATAAAGAACTGGGAAGTGTTGGAGAACACAGTTTATGAATGGTCAAGAAAACCAAGACTTGAAGAATGAGATGGAGCTAACCAGGTTCAGAACATAGCAGAGAGCAATGCACAGCATGTGCAAAGGTCCTGAGTCAGAAAAGTGTTGGCTTATTGAAGAAAGTAAAGGGATCTGCATGGTTGGAGAATGGGCAAGGTGGAAAGAAACAAGTTACAGTAGAGGGGCTTATAGTGGGAACTGTATTAGTTAGCTTTTGCTAGAAAAGAAACAACCCCAAAACTTAGTGCTTAAAACATAGTGATTTATATCTCATGATTCTGTGGGTTTCTTCTGGTCTGGGCTTGCTTGGATAGGGCTGGAGGATCTATAATGACCTCACATGTCTAGGGCTTCAGCTAAAATGGCAAGTGTGGTGGGAATGGCTAGGCCTCTCTTGGGGTCTCTCATCATTCTATAGAAAGCTCAGGCTTGTTTAGATGTCAGTTGGAGGATTCCCAGCAGCAAGAGAAGGCAAACTCCATTGAGTAAGAGCGTTTCAAGCCTGTTTGTGTTACATTGGCTGATGTTCTATTGGCCAAAACAAGTCATGTGGCCAAGTCCTGAAGTGAAGTCCAGATAAATCTACCTCTTTATGGCAGCATCTAAGAATATTAATGCCCCGTTTTTCAATATAATCTCAGGAATGAAAACAGAAGCTGTTTATTAATTGGGTACTCACTCCAAGCTGGGGCTTCATTCAAGTTCCTTCCTTCCTTCCTTCCTTCCTTCCTTCCTTCCTTCCTTCCTTCCTTCCTTCCTTCCTTCCTTCCTTCCTTCCTTCCTTCCTTCTTTCCTTCCTTCCTGCCTTCCTCCTCCTTCTAAAAATTATCTATTATGTGTCAGGCATTGTCTCAGACCTCCTGCTGAGTAACACTCAGAGCTTGCTCTCAGGTAGTTCACATTATAGCGGGGGAGATACAAACAGAGCCATTTGCAGTTCTGGGTGGCCAACAGCCAATGTGTTTGCAAGATGTAATGATGGAGACAGAAGAGGGTGACTGACTCAAAAGGCAGTCAGAGAAAAAATGTCCTGGAGGAAGTGATGCTTCAGCTGAATCCTGAAGAATAAGATGGTGAGGAAGGGGCATTCTAGGAGCAGAAGGTGAGCAAGGGAGCCACCTGAGGCCAGCAACAATTGGATGTCAGGCTTGAAATGTGGGATTGGAGCTTTGTCAACCTCTCTTGCTACAAGCCACAGTTGACTCTGAGCCAGTTGTGGGGTCAGGGCTGGGCTTAAACACATAGTGGCAGTGGCAATCAGAATCCAGGGACCCCAACAATAGGGATGAGGAGAGATGGGACTGGGTCTAGCAGTGGCTGCAGACAGTCCCAATGTCTGTGTTGCACCCTACACACAGGCTCTCTGCAGCTTGTGCCATGACTCTCCCTTCAGACTGGGAACTCCTGAGTCATATAGTCAATGCTGGCCAATGGCCTTAGCAAAGCCCCAGGATCTCTTTACTGGAAATGGTTTCACAATTTTCCCATACAGATGGTGTCCTGAAGGGACAACCAAGTGTGAGTGTATCATTCACTGCATTTTTCATGTGTAGGTGGTGGGGGTAGGGAGAGAGAGAAAAAATATCAGGAAATGTGTATATTTATCCTAGCCTGGTCTTAAGAAAACACAGCCACCAATCCATCAAAAATGAATTTGAGTTTGGATAACATTAGTGTTTAAGGCAATGAAGGCAATGCCCTTCTCTTGTATTGATTCTCTGTGGGTTGAAATGGAAACAATTTTAGAAATGTAGTCTTAGGTTTCCTTAATCTGCGTGGCTCAGGGAGGAAAAGGCTGTTGTCACTCGTGCTAATAACCACAAGAAACACAGTTCTAAAGTGCTTAGCTGGAAAATGAATTTCAGAAACCAGCCCTGGTCATGACTCCAGGGAATTTGTTTCCTAAAAATTCAGCTCTTTTCTTTCCTTCAAGAGAGTTGCCTTAGAAGGTATAGCCATTTGGGAAGGAGAAACTAACATGCAGAGTTGAAGATTCCCAGGAAGGGAAGAGTCAGCATGAGGTAGGGTCTTAATTGCTCAGTGATGGGGTGAGAGGAGGGGATTGCTTGTGCAACTGACTTTGGAAGCCCAAAGGAGACCTCAGCCTCCCACCATTCAAAATAAATATCTGCTTGAAATTTTATTATGATGTATTTTAGGTCAAGATATTGGGGTTACCTCTTTAAATGTGTATGAAGTTTGGCTGTCTTAGCATGAACTAGGCATCATTAACATTAATTGCCTCTCAGGTCCCAGAGGTGGAGGATCAGTTGGGTAGAGAGCAGGCGAGGGAGAAAAATTTGTATCATGGGGCACTGCAAGTGGAAGAGAGACAAGGGTAGAGCCAGGGAGAGACAGAGAGAACTCATGGGGTGTCTGGGTTTGGTGTCTAAAAGGCAGAGGTGAGGATGGCTACCCCCAAAAGGGAGCACTGGCCCTGCTGAAGAAAGACATGTCTGTTTGTAATTTGGGCTGAGCTTCCTAAGGACTCAGCATTTGAGGCACATTTGTCCCTTTTCATCAAAGAGAGAAAGGCAACGAGGTCACAATCGCTTTTGCATTTAGAGAACTTGAACAATGAGATAGTATCTGATTGAGAATGGAAGTCAACCACTTTCTTTCTCAGCCTGCTATGTGGTCTTTTTGCTTCTGGCAATTAATAAAGCCCTTGTGGGTATTTGCATAAATATGGGCTGTATTTGCGTAAAGTGTGGGCACAGTTTGCAGTGTCCCCTAGAGCAGCAATATGTCCTGTGGTCTATTCCCTCTTTGTCACCTGAGGTTTGTCACTTTGCACCTCTTTTCCTTCACATCCACCCACTTGTCCTGAACTAGATGTGGGAGACCGGAGCGTGGGAGGAGGTTGAAGGGTGAGGATGGGTGGCCCTGTCTTCTACCAAGATGGATCCATGTCCTGCCTTCCTCAGAGAGGCCTTCCTCTTCCTCTTTCCAGGCTCTATCAGTCCTTGCATATAGCCATGCATCCCTAAGTAACACCTTCCTTTTCGCCGTAAGTAATTTGCTTCTGACATCTCCTTCAGCAGCCTGCATTGGGCATAGCCTGTGTGCATGACTCAGCTCTACAAGATGTATCAAAGAGATGTGTACCTAGGGATGTGCAGAGGCCTGGCCTCCCTCAACCTTTGCCAGGAGGCCAGAACTCTAAGGAATGGGCCTGTCCTGTACATTGTTCAGACTCTTTAAGGTGAAAGTACAGATGCTCAGTTGACACCAAGAGTTTGGGTTTATACCAAGTGAGGCCACAACAGGCACAGGCTGGACCTCCTAGGAACAGGAAATCAGGAGGACAGGGCTATGCCAGGGCTGTGATGGAGTTGGGGCTTGGGAGGCTTTCGGAATCCAGCCCAACTCTAGTGCCCAGAATATCTTGGTGCCGTCTTAGAAGCAGAAGCTCGCAGTCTCCTATTCTTTCCATTAATGACAAGCTGCCTCCTCTGCTATTCTTCCCTGACTTAAGAATTTCTGTTTACTTGTAGCTTCTGTTCATTTGGGCAAATCTAAGACTAAAGGCCTTTGCAGACTGGCTACTTTTGGCATGATTTCTGTGGTCCCATTATCAACTGGTTCACTTTCTCCCCATTAAAAAATTTCCAACAAAGAAAATAAAATGTTTCCAGCTGGGCACCATTGTTTCTATTTGGTCACAATGTGAATGCCCGTTTCTTCAAAGTTTGGTGACTAAGATAGAGGCTGGCTTTCTTAGTTAAGTGCCACTTTGGATCTGATGTGGCAGAGGGTCGGGGGACCTGTGTGGGAAGATCCCTTGGAAGGGGTGGTGGGCATGGCAGGCATCCCAAACCTTAGCCTGATCCATATGCCTGGCTGGCTAAAGTGACAGCAACTTCTGTAGTAGTCAGAGTCAGTGATCATCTACTTACTGTGCTGAGGAGACTTAGATGGTTCCCTGTAACTAATGCCACAGTCTTCTTCTGGCTTGTCCATCTGTCCTACTCGCTGAGAGATTCTGATATCTAGAGCAATACTCAGTACGTCCTCAATATCCAATAATGATTTGTGGAATAAGTAAGTGCATGCTGCCTAAATTAGCATGAAAACATCTCCTTTTTATTCACCTAGATTATAAGCATATTTAGCATAGGAACCCTATGTGAAAA